GTGTAGATAGGAGGACCAGACACACAAGGTCATCTCTGTCTATGTAGGAATTATAGCAAGTTTGAAGTAAACCTTGTGTCACATAAAATGAGCCAGAAGTAAACTCAAACTCTCCCATTGCCAAAGCAAGCAAGCAAACAAACAAGCCACTACAGTCAAGTATATTCCAAAGCATGGGAGATTAAAAACTGCATGTTCAACCAAATCCACATTTTCTAATTCAAGGAGTCTAGATTAACAATACTTAACTATATTGTTTTCTACAAACCATTGCTAATGAAAACTGGGGATATGGGTCAGTGACATTCTTCCTTGGACTCGGGAGGTCCTGGGTTCAATTCATGGTGATGATGATGATGAGATGACAACAACAATGTTGATATAGCAATGAATGATAAAATTTTTATGGAATATGAGACAATATTGGTCAAACAACTGAATAAGAACTGACAGCTAACGTTAGATAAAAAGTATGAACATAATTTATTAGAGCAAAATTCTATACTTACTAGCAATATTGACCTCAAAAGACAGATACATGGGAGCTGGCTCCTAGTACACACTCAGAGATGGTGCTTTTGTCAGAACTTCAGGCTGAAGTCACCGATAGACCAATACAGCATTGGAAAAAACCAGTGGCCAGACATGCCCCCAAAACTTCAATGAAAGGCAATGGAGCCAGCAGTTTCATTAGTCTGTGTTCTATACACATGGCAATTCTGAGATTGATGTCAGATTTCTGTCAGGCTCAGCACTGACAAGTGAGCTTAGGTGTTCTTTGCACCATCATTAACATTGCTTTGAAGACCCTAAGTCACCCAGACTGACTTCAGAAGTAGTTGATTTTATTTTCTTTTCATTGCAGGCATATTTAATTTAATGATTCCAGTAAAATTAAGCACTAGGAAAACAAAAGTGGAAAGCAGCTGAGACAACTTCCCTTTAGTGCTTAAACGTAGTAAAGGCTATGGGCTGAGTATGTGTATGTGTGTTTTTACGTGTGTGTGTGTGTTGAGGCAGGGTCTCTGGGTTATGTACTTCTGCTTGCCCTGGAACCCACGATGTAGATCAGGCAGGTCTCAAATTTACAGAGATCTCTACCTGCCTATGCCTTCTGAATGCTGGAATTAAAGGCATGTGCTACCAAACCTGGCTCAGGATAAGCAAGCTGAATAGAGAAAATAGTGACCAGGTGGGTGTGGTGGTTGGAGCCTTTAATCCCAGCACTCAGGATGCAGATATAAGATTGCTATGATGTCCAGGCCAGCCTAGGCTGGGCTATAAAGAGAGATCCTATATCAAAACAAACAAAATTGAAAGTAGTACAAAATAATGGGTACAGTAGTGGCCTTTTCCATGTCCTATTTCGGAATCCTCTCACCTCTCTCTCACACATCTTCATGGCTTTAGTTGTCACAATGAGCCACTCTCTTGTGGAATTCTACTGTGGGAATATGTATTTTCTGATTACTTACAACTCTAATAATGATACTCTCAAAAACCTCAGTGAGGAATTTAAAAAGTGACAATGCTGGTTCCAATGTGCAGTGTGACATATGATAAAGCTCCAGCTGAAAAAGACAAAATCCAAGATTTAGTGAGATTGGTCACTGGTGAGAAGCTATGACCCTTGGTCAGAGAGTGGATGATTGAGTCTCTACAATTTATTTTCAAGTGCTTGGAATCAAATGTAGGTCCTCATACCAAATTCTGACCAAATAATGAGGTTAAAGTAGCAGATGTGCAGCTTAGTCTCCACGTGGTTCCCGCAACAACTGGAGTGGAGGCTGTTCCTAAAGCTGTAACCTGACTGTGGTATCTGTTCCCAACAGGGCTGTCTTGTCTGTCCTCAGTGGGAGAGGATGTGCCTAATCTGGCAGAGACTAGAAGTGATGTGCCAGGGTGGGAAGATATCCAGGATTAGCCTCACCCTCTCAGAGGAGAAAGGGAGTGGGGATAGGGAAGAACCTTTGGGGGGGGGGAAACTTGAAGGGGAGTAGCATTTGGGATGTAAACAAACAAATAAAATACAAAAATAATAAAAATTAAAAACAAACAAACCCACATTTTCTCTATTCCAGATTGCTGTACTGAAGGCGTGGGAAGGTCTGATTGTAGTTGCTTTGAGTGAATGGGTAATGAAATATGAGCATGCAGTTCAGTTTAGAGGACACAAAATGCAGAGATACCTAATTTCAAATAGCTCTTTTACTTGGGGAAGTACTAATATGTGATTATGAGATTATGTTTCAGGAAAACAATGGGTATTATTGTGTTTGGTAGAAGTAGAAACAAAGGTTTACTCCATTGGGTCATTAGGAGGGATCTTTTGGTTCCTGGAAAAATGAAATCTGGATTCTTACATGTACCATCAGATTATTGGTGAATGTAGTCCTCCTCAATCCCTAATGTGGTGCCAGTGCCTATCTCACACTGCACTGCCTATCGTTAGGTCTCTTTCTCCTAACTGGAATGCCTTGTCTAGCTTCAATAGGAAACATCCCAAGTCTTCCTCCAACTTGATATGTGAAGGTTGGTTGATATCCATGAAAGGCCTCCTTTTTTTTCCTGAGGAGAAGGCAAGGAAGGGTAGATGTGAAGAAGATGAGGTGAGAGAAAGGGACTGGGAGGAGAGGAGGGATGGAAAGCTGTGATCTGGATAAATAAGATAAATAAAAATTCACATACACAAAAAGAAATTCCTCTACAATATAAGTTAAATGAAGATGAAAATATACAGATATACCAAACCCTGAAACATTTTCTTGCTAGTGTTTTGAAACAAGAAAAAAAAAAATCTTGAACTCTGGCTGTAGTTCATGCTCAAGGGCAGAACAATTCCCTCCAAAATGTGTAGTCCCAAGTTTGATGCTCAGCACTGCAAAATAAAATGTTAAATTCGAAAGTTAAATGAAAATAACTTCTAGTGAAATTGATCCTGGTTACTTCCCTAACATCTGTCCCCGGTGAACATATGGATATGCTCAAATTTTATCCTGTAGAAAAAGTGTTGTGTTGGATATGGTCATGAATACTTTTAATCCCAGCACCAGGAAAGAAGAGATAATGTTCTTGGTCTCTTACAAGCAATATGCAAAGAAATGTAAAGTTCAAGGCTTTCCTGGGCTACAGAATGGCTGCAAGGTCAATATGGGCAATTTAGTAAAGGCCTCTTCTAAAAGTTACTGTGAAAGCCCTGGAGGTATAGCCCAATAACAGAGCCATGACATAGCAATTCAAATCGAAAGTGCAAAACTGTGAAGAGAACCTGAAACCTAACATAGGAAGTTGTAAATGAATCTGAACTCAATAGAGTACACTCAGCAGCTGCAGGCAAGGGGATATATCTATCCTCCAAGACAGAGTTACAGAGTAAGAGCCTGTGTAAAAAATAGGACAGAAGAAATTAAAAAGGGAGTATAAATAAATGTTATTTTATAAAGCCATAAGAGTGGTTTTTTGAATTAAATTATAGTAGAATTAAGATTCCTAATAATATAAATTCAGACATCAAAAAGGATCAAAATTGAATTGCATTTTTTTCTAAAGATATAACATTAGACATGGGTCTTTATAATGTTTGTATTCAGGTATGTAAAGGAGTAATGACTTGGTTATTAGGGTAAGAACATAGAGCTGTATGTAACTATACCATGTTTATATAGAGAAAAGTAGACTAAGAATATGTAATTCTAGCTGGGCAGTGGTGATTCATGCATTTAATCCCAGCACTCAGGAGGCAGAGGCAATCAGATCTCTGAGTTGAGGCCAGCCTGGTCTACAGTGTGAGTTTCAGGACAGCCAGAGCTACACAGAGAACCTATGTCTGAACTGCCAACTATGTATATAATTCTAAGTTAGATTAAAGCAAAATTGACCAAGGGGCTCATAAATGGTTACAATGTGAGCATGATTTACCAGGAATGACATGAAATTTTCTCTTGTAATACCTATGTGTTATATTAACATCTATATATGTTATTTCTATAACTCATATAGTATTTTAAGTATTTTATTGATAAGCTTTTATTTTTTTAAATTTTGCTTATTGGTTTGAGAAAGAGTCTCACTATGTAGCTCTGGCTTGTCCACAAAGATCTGCCAGTCTCTCACTTCACAGTGCTGGAATTAAAGGAGTATATCACTACTCCCAACCCAGAGGAGCATAAAAATATTCTCTAATTTTATCCTGCACAAAAGTGATTGATTGGGTGTGGCCTTGAACACCTTTAATCCCCACACTGGAATGACAGAAGCAGGAGTTCCTGTGAGTTCCAGGCCAGTATGAGCTCCACAGCAAGAATTCATCTTAAAAATATGTATGAAAATATTTTTATATAAAAACATTTATTTCTATTCTTTTAGAATGTATTTAGAGATGTTGTACCATAGAGAAAAAATGGATGATATATAATGGTGATATAAAAACATTAGTGAGATAATATTTATGCTGAGTAGATTAGTCATGTCTTTGTTCTGTAAACATAGATCAGAATATATCCTTTTTTTTTTTTTCAAGACAGGGTTTCTCTGTGTAGCCCTGGCTGTCCTGGAACTCACTCTGTAGACCAGGCTGGCCTCGAACTCAGAAATCCTCCTGCCTCTGCCTCCCAAGTACTGGGATAAAAGGCGTGCACCACCACTGCCCAGCTCAATCATTCTTTATAGACAATTTTCTTGTTTGTTTTGTTAGAGACAGGGTTTCTCTCTGTAAACATTTTCAATGTCCTTGAACTAGCTCTGTAGACCAGGCTGTCTTCAAACTCACAGAGATCCACTAGCTCCTGCTTCTGAAGTTCATGGGATTAAATGTATATGCACCACACCTGGTTTATAGACAGTTTTTTGTTTATCTGTGAGTTAGATTATCAGATAATTAGCTTATCTCTCTCTTTTCTTATGTAAAAGCAAGATTAGGTGAGACAGACACTGCCATTTCTAGCAACTCAAGACTTGTCTGCATCTCTGTGGTGGAATCATGGTGGACAAACTCTCCAACCATGGAGGAGCCTTCAGGAAGCTCAGTTTCAAGCCAGCCTTTGACAGTGAGTACTTCATTCACATTGTGTAATGTCCATCCTTGTTATTTTCTTTCTATTTAAACCTCCTTAATTTAGTGTGTATTTGTAGTTGACATAAGTTGATGTCCTGTGGGCAGCTGTTAACTACTTGTTCATGTGTGGTGGAAAAAATTTACTGCATCAGTCCAAAATTTCAGGCTTTGCCCTGTTGTTGGATGATTTTTGTCCTCGTATGAATGTCTAGTGTTCTTGCAAAAACTTATACAGTGAACTTCTGCACTAGTGATGCCAGTGTGTCACTGAGGTGGGTTTGGAGCATCAGCACAGGACGAACATAAGAAAGAAAAGAGTAACATCCTTCAAGGAAGATGGAGGGAATCTTTGTGTAACTCATTTGATAGAGACCCTCAACTTCCTATCCTTGATAGTCATATGAGCTAGATGTCCTAAAAGCCTGGTAAATAGTGCTTCTTGCAACAATCTTAAGGAGCTAGCCCATGCTGTGATTTGAGACCTATTTATTCAGAGAAAATGGGTGGTAGAAGATCCATAAACCTAAAAAAAATAATCCCCATAGTCTGTAGTGTATTTCATTCTGTGTTTAAACTTCACTTTGTTTTCAAAGGGAACACTCACAAGAAGTATGTTACCCTACAAATTACAGAAGAGAAGAGAGACCCTGTTTGCCCGGATCAAGATAAAGTCCAGACACAGATCTGGTGTTACTCCTAGAGATCCTGTAAGGCTAACTAGTTGCATCTTCCCACAGCCTGTGACCATAATAACTTCACACCCTGAGAGTAAAACCAGGTACAGTAGAGATGAAGCTAAGCTGAAGAAACCCCAGCAGCTCTGTGCATTGAACAGACTCCAGAAACTTCAAGTTGGAGCCAGTAAAGGGAACCTATCATGTCCATTGAAGCTTACAAACCCTATAGAAAGAATTGAACTGGGAATGCAGGATGAAGCCATGGACCAAAACAGTGTTGAGGATCAGCTCAGTCGTGGAGAAGTCACCTCTGTACAACCCCCATGCTTGGAAAACACTGAGCAAGTAGATCTTCAGCTGTCACCATCTTTCTCCAGTCGAGGGGTAACATTGCCATTGCCTCTTCATCTGTCACCATCTTACTGCATACAAGAAGTAACAACTTCAGACATCCAGAGACAGATCTGGAAGGTAAAGAAAGCCAGGAAAAGACTGGCAGAGGCCTTGGAGGCAGACAGGCTTGCCAGGCAGGCAGAGAACATGAAGGAGCAAAGATGAGTGGAAAACATGTGTTTGCGGCCTCTGAAGTTCTTAAAGGAACTTTTTGGTTTGGTTTGATTGGTTTGGTTTTTCAAGACAGAGTTTCCAGATATAACCCTGGTTGTCCTGAAACCCTGTCTCTGCTTCTAAAGTTTGAGTTTAAAGGCAAGTGCCACCATAACCCAGCATTACTTCTATGTCTTTAAATAACAGGCTTGCCAGGCAGGCAGAGAACATGAGGGAACAAAGGTAAGAGAGCTGTTGTGGCCTCTGAAAGTTTGTTTTGTTTGGTTTTGGTTTTGGTTTTGGTTTTGGTTTTGGTTTTGGTTTTGG